AATATGTTCAATAGATCTATCAAATATAACCCATTTAGTTCACTTAATGGAAGATAAACTATCAAATTGCCTTACCTAGTTCTCCAAGATGACTTCATTCTTCCTGCCCAAACAACTTCTGTTAGATATTAGATATTAGATATTCATTCATTTCATAAAAAACATTTCTTTCTGCCTTCTATAGCAGTTGCTAATGTTAATTATTCTAACTCTGCCATCAGTATGATCTGTGAAACTAAGTTCCAGTCAATTAAAGATAAACAAGAATAAGGTGTCCAACTTCCATGTTAGATCTTTTGTAGAAATTTCACGCCCTCTCCTATTTCTTATTTTACTTTCTTGCAGGCTACAGCGTGCATGATGTACTGTTGAGTTAGCTTTGACCATTCAGACTAGAAAAACCCAGAGGGAACAGGGTGCTAAATAATCTCATGGGAACACTATTGCCTATTTGTTCTGTTTATTTCACCTCCCTCTTCCACTGCTCGGCCATTATGTAAGTCTCTTCCAAACTCAGATACCACCTGCTGAAAGATGAAGGAGGAAGGAACGTATGAGAAATTCTAAAAGGCTGAGTATTTTCCCCAAGGAAACTACATTAACCAGGAAATGACGAGGTTATATTGAATCTGAAAGGATGGTATTATTATGATTCATCCACTTTTTAACAGCAATGGAGGTCCCCAATGAAATTAAAGTCAGTATAAAAGTACAGTTAGAAGAAACAAGTTCTAGTACAGCAGGGAAATTATAGTTAACAATTTATTTTATATTTTGAAATAACTAGAAGAGAATAATTGTATTGTTCCCCAAAGTGTTTGAGGTGAGGGTTATCTAAATTACCTTAGTTGGATCATAATGCCTTATGTACATGTATCAAAATATCACTTGTATGCACAAGACTATTATATGCCAAAAAAGTTTTTTAAAAGTTAAAAAATAAATGGCTAGCAAGTATATGAAAAATGCTCATCATTCTTAATTATTAGAGAAATGCAAATCGAAACCACCCTGAGATATCATCTAACCCCAGTGAGAATGGCCCACATCACAAAATCTCAAAACTGCACATTTTGGCACAGATGTGGAGAGAAAGGAACACTTTTACACTGTTGGTGGGACTGTAAACTAATACAACCTTTTTGGGAGTATGGAGAAATCTCAAAGAACTAGCTAGACCTCCTGTTTGATCCTGCAATCCCATTACTGGGCATCTATCCAGAAGGAAAAAAAAAAAAACACTTTATATCATAAAGACACTTACACTAGACTATTTATCACAGCTCAATTTACAATCACCAAAATGTAGAAACAGCCTAAATGCCCCCCAACCCAGGAATGGATTAACAAGCTGTGGTACATGTATACCATGGAATACTACTAAGCCATTAAAGAAATGGAGACTTTACAGTATTTGTATTAACCTGGACAGAAGTGGAACACATTATTCTTAGTAAAGCGTCACAAGAATGGAGAATCATGAATCCTATGTAATCAATCTTGATTTGATGATAATTAGTGACACAGTAGGGGGTGAGGAAAGGGGAGAGCAGAGAGAGAGAGAAGGAGGGAGGGGGGAAAGGAAGAACAGAGAGAGGGAAGGTGGGAGCGGGGTGGGATCTCAGTGTGTGACACATCTTGTACCCTCGATGAATCCCCAACAATAAAGTTTTCAGAAAAAAAAAGTTAAACAATAAAGTCAGTGAGTAGTAAACTGTATACTCAAAGCTATATTTACAATATAATGGGTAGATAATTTATTGAATTCTGCAATTTTTCCAGTCCTTTTTTTTTTGTTTTGTTTTTGTTTTTTAAGACAGGTATGGCTATATTATTTAGGCTGGCTTTGAACTTCAGCCTCAAGCAATCCTCCCACTGTAGACTCCTAAGTGGCTTGGGCAGTAGTCATGTGCCACCATGACCAGTGGGTGCTACATTTGGAATGTGAGGATAGATGGGAAGGAGGCAAGATCTGGGTTCCATTGCTCCATGGGGAGTGCTAGTAAGAGAGAAATAGAGTGTAAATCGGTAATTGACATTCATCTTAGGCCTCTGACAACTGTGTTATTAATTGGGAAAGTGATGCTTAAATCTTAGGTACCATTTTTTAACTAGAATGGTATTCAATGAAAGAAAGTTCAAAGAGCCTCTGCATTTGGAGATTACCTTGAAGCTACTTGAGATAAATGATTTCTATCAAGACATTGACATTCCCACTTATCCTGTCTTGTGTTTTTAATAGCAAATAATCATATTTTAATACAATGCATAAGTATCCTGCCAAATATAAATATCCTTAGAAATGAGACTAAGCACTTTTCTATAAACAAGCTGCTTTAATGCCTATATTTGGAGTCTATTGGCATCTGTGTTAAAATGGAGGTTGCTTTGAAGAATGATCTTGACAGAGACCAGATTCTGGAATGTTAAAACACAGCATAGCAGGAAAATTTCTCCCCTGCTTATCTGTACTTGGAACCCTGATGGAGATTTTCCTGGGCACAGCAGAAGATGCATAGCTTCAATGTCACATGCCAAATTTAAACCAATAACAGCCAGTTGAGCACTGCGGTCTCTTGGATATTGCATAATGTTTATAAAGGATCTAGAGGTGATTATACCCA